ATTTAAAGGCAAAGTGCCATGATATCTACAACTTACTCTCAAATGATACAGAAATAACCCATACATAAGCAGATAAAAAGAGCTGAAATAAGATAAAGCAAGTAACATCAATGTAAACATATATGGTGGGTTACTAAACAATTATTTCAATTTTTCTGTATGTTAAATTAAAATGTACATTTCGAATTTAGGGAAAACCTCAAAGAGAACAATTTACTTCTTGATAGTCCATTATTAATTCCTACTTTATCTTAAATTGTGAACAGAGAATATGAATTGTTGGCTATTATCAAAATCTTGGCCAGGCACAGTGGCTCATGCCTATAATCCCAGTAATTTGGGAAGCCAAGGCAGGAGGACTGCTTGAGGCCAGGGGTTTGAGACCAGCCTAGGCAACATAGTTAGACCCCATTTCCACAAAAAATGAGAAAAGCAAAAGCAAAACAAAACAAGATATGCAAAGTCTCTCTTTTTTTTTTTTTGAGACGGAGTCTTGCTCTGTCACTCAAGCTGGAGTATAGTGGTGTGATCTCGGCTCACTGCAACCTCCGCCTCCCGGGTTCAAGTGATTCTTGTGTCTCAGCCCTCCAAGTAGCTGGGATTACATGTGTGTGCCATTACGCCCAGCTAATTTTTGTATTTTTAGGAGAGATGGGGTTTTGCCATGTTGCCCAGGTTGGTCTTGAACTCCCGACCTCAGGTGATCTGCCAGCTTTGGCCTCCTAAAGTGCTGGGATTAGAGGTGTGAGCCACTGCACCTGGCCAAAATCTTCAGACACACAAAAATCGTATTTTTAATTTCCAAAATTATATAAAATTTAATAGATGAGTGGCTTTAAGCTGTTCTAAATAAATTAATTATGCTATTAGAATCTTTCATAAAAATTAATTATCAGCAACACAAATAATGACGATATCCATAATAGCTCATATTTATTTATTTATTTATTTTGAGATGGCGTCTCGCTCTGTCTCCCAGGCTGGAGTGCAGTGGCACAATCTCGGCTCACTGCAACCTCCGCCTCCTAGGTTCAAGTGATTCTCCCGCCTCAGCCTTTCAGAGTAGCTGGGACTACAGGTGGTGTCACCACACCCAGCTAATTTTTTGTATTTTTTGTAGAGATGGGGTTTTACCATGTTAGCCAGGATGGTCTCCATCTCCTGACATGTGATCCACCCACCTCGGCCTCCCAAAGTGCTGAGATTACAGGCGTAAGCCACTGTACCCGGCCAATAGCTCATATTTATTGAGCATGAGGCTATATGCCAAACAGTCTTCCCAGATTTTGACAAGTATAATTTGGGCCACATCTGCATAATAGGACTCTTATGTACCTTTTTTCTTTTTAGACGGGGCCTAAAAAAGCCAGGCTGGTGTGCAGTGGCTATTCACAGGCACCATCATACAGCACTGTAGCCTCACACTCTTGCCTCAAGTGATCCTCCCGCCTCAGTCTCCCGAGTAGCTGAGAGCACATGTGTGCACCGCCATGCCTGGGTTTCATGTAGGCTCTTGATTATACTTTGCAAATAATTCCCATAGATGATAAATATCTTGGCCAATGACACACAGGGAGTTATGTGGCAGTGATGACAGGTAAGGCATGAGCTGTGGCTAAAAGCACTACTGCATACATGACATTAACAAGTTAGTTTATTAGTACTAATTTTCGAGACCTCAACAATGATTGAGTGGTGTCAGGTGTGGTGATTTTAAAATAAAAATATGTCTGCAAATGTTTTGACATTTCTCTCTTTAAAAGGTGAAAGTGGGCTAGGCATGGTGGTTCACCCCTATAATTTCAGCACTTTGGGAACACTGTGGGCCCAAGAGTTTGAGACAAGCCTGGGCAAGTTGGTGAGACCCCCATCTCTACAAAAAAATTAAAAATCAGCTGGGCATGGTGACGCACACCTGGCGCACACCTGGTGCACAGCTACTCGGAAAGCTGAAGCAGGAGGATCACTGAAGCCCAGAAGGTTGAGGCTGAAGTGAGCCATATGCACTCCACTGGGCGACAGTGAAAGATCCTGCCTCCAAAAAAAAAAAAAGGTGAAACTTAATTCCACTCTTATTGAATGTAGGCCAGACTTAGTGACTTGCTGGTAACAAATAGAATGTGGTAGAACTAACTTCCAAAGGGAGATTATAAAAAGGATCACATCTGAGAAAAGCCAATTGTCACGTCACAAGCACACTCAAGCAGCTTATGGACAAGGCCCCATGGGAGAAGAAACGACTTGCCAGCATAAACTTAGCCACAGAACCAAGCCATATTTGAAAGCATATCTTCTAGCTATAGTCAAGCCTTTAGATAAGCACAACCTCTTGAGACACTTGGAGTAGGAACTGCCCAGCTTAGCCGCTCCCAAATTTCTGAGTCACAAAAACTGTGAGAAAAATACATATTTATTGGCATTTTAAGCCAGTAATTCTTTGGGTTCTCTGAAATGTGGCATGAGATAACAGATTCTGGTACCTAGACAAGGGATGCTATTGAAACAAAAAGCTATAAATGTCAGAGGGGCATTGGGACCACAAACTGTGTGGAAATTGGAAGGGCCTAGAAAATATTATTAGCAGAAACCTGGATATTTTTGAAAAGGCTCCTAGTGAGGTTTTAAAGAAAACTGAAAAATGTTACTGGAGACTATGGGGAAGGGATTCTCGTTATGTAACAGCAGAAAGCAACATTGCTGCATGTGGTAACTGTGAAAAGTATAAAATAATACATACAGAACTGTGTAACTGGGCCAGGCTCGTGCTATAATCCCAGCACTTTGGGAGGTCAAGGTAGGAGGATCAAGAGTTTGAGACCAGCTCAGGCAACATAGAGAGACCTCATCTCTACCAAAAAAAAAAAAAAACCAAAAAACAAACCACAAAGAATTAACTAGGTGTAGTTGTGCATACACCTGTAGTCCTAGCTACTCATAAGGCTGAGACGGGCGGATCACTCGAGCCCAGGAGTTCAAGGCTGTAGTGAGCTATGATCACACCACTGCACTCCAACTTGGGTGACAAAGCAAGATTGTGTCTTTAAGAAACAAAAACAAACAAACAACAGCAACAAAAAAAAGTGGGTAATTTAGCTTAGGAGACTTCCAAGCAGAATGTTGACGGTGTCTTCTGGCTCTTGTTGCTTAAGTGCCAGAAGTGAGATAAGCTAGAAAAAGATTGTTAAACAGAAGTGAACCAGGACTTGCTTTTGGAAACTCCCAACCTCTCCAGAAAGCAAATGATGCTAAACTTCACAAATGGTCTCTGGACAAAGACAAAATCCAGAGCACGGTTAGGGAAACATAGTATATAGGTAACCTTAGGGTATGTGTTCATACTGATCCTCTGAAAAGCAAAAAACAAGATCAGATCAGAAGGAAGGAAGGGGCTATGAATGAAAAAGAGGTCCAGGAAAGGCAGTGAAAGCCTTCAGGTCATGGTTCAAGACGGGTGACTCTGAAGGAGAGGAATGAAGCAAGATTGGTAGAAAAACTATGAAAACGCAGGGCTATGAAGACAGTTTAAGCCTGGCTGATGGGAAGCTGATTCACAGTTCCCCAGCTGAAGGGTCTGGGTTTCATAAGAATTGACTAGTATGAATACTTCTGTTACAGAAAAGGGGCTGGGGCAGCCCATGGGAAGCATGGCCTCAACATTAACACAGTGATTATTTCAGAGAGGGAGCAGAGGGGGCACTTCACAGCAGGTTATCTGTTCTCCAAAGAATAGAGTATGACTATTAAAAACCCTTGGTTAAGACCCCAGAAATATCTAACGTGACAATTATGAGAATCATCACTCAATGAAATTTCTATAAAAGGTTCTGTCAGCAGCCTCTGCAGAAGCCCAACGTAGAGGAGGCCGGATCTGCATGAGAGTGAATGAACAAGTGAGCATGAGCACTAGGGAAAGGCGATCCTGAAGATTCTGTTCATTAGAAGCAAGTGACTAGGTTCACCTCACATGCAAAGGGAGGCAAATTGGACTTCTGTTTTTTTTGTTTTTTGTTTTTGTTTTTGAGATGGAGTCTCACTCTTTTGCCCAGGCTGGAGTGCAGTGGCACAATCTCAGCTCACCACTGCAGCCTCTGCCTCCCAAGTTCAAGCGATTCTCCTGCCTCAGTCTCCCTAGTGGCTGGGACTACAGGCATGTACCATCACGCCTGGCTAGTTTTTTAGTTTTTTATTTTTAGTAGAGATGGGGTTTCACTATGTTAGCCAGGCTTGTCTCAAACTCCTGACCTCAAGTGATTTGCCTGCCTCGGTCTCCCAGAGTGCTGGAATTACAGGCATGAGTCACCATGGCCGGCCAGACTTCAAGTTTGAAGGGTAGAGTTTCAAATAATTTGAGGGCATATTTTAAAAACACCATGACTGGCACTCTGAATACAAATTGCTTATATTTCTACGTCATGCAAAATATCCTCAAGAAGCCACCCAAATTGCTTGAGCCCAGAAGTTGAAAGGTGCAGTGAGCTATGATCATGCCTCTGCACTCCAGCCTGGGTGACACAGCAAGACCCTGTCTCAAAAAAAAAAAAAAACAAAAAAACTCCAAAGTCTCATTCATTTGTAGCATCAACTACGCTCAGGCTAGGATTTCCTCATGTAAATTGAACCCACCGTGGATGAGGACAGCTGTCTCCTGGCACTCTCACTCTCTAAGCCAGCCCACCAGTGCGAGCGAGTCACCTGGAAAACAGATCCTTCAGCCCCAACAAGTCCTCAGAAGACCACAAGCTCAAGGAAAAACCAATCCAAAAGCACTCAGTTAAGTCTCTTCCCGAATTTCTGACCCTCAGAACCTATGAGTGATGTTTACTGTTGTGGTAAGACATTAGGGCTTGGAGTAATTTGTAATACAGCCATTGAAATCTAGTATGAAAGGCTTTTGGTCATCCCTTTAATTAATAAGTTTATATAAAAAAATCCATGCCATGGATGTTGTAGGCATGAAGAAACTGGGATTCCTTTTTTTTTGTTTTTGTTTTTGTTTTTTCTTAATTTACCATTGAACAGTCAGATGTTCCATTAAAATGTCAACATCGAATGCTTTCTAATGTGGCAAGAACTGCATTTTGAACTCTCTCAATTGCTAAAGCCATACCTGTAAGACTAACATTCCATCATTTCTCACCAGTGTGGACTGTCTGATGGTGAATGGCGAGCTCGTACTCTTTATGGTCTTAGATTTTTGTGCTCCTATGAATTCCGTGATGGGCTTTAAGGGCTGAACCATATCTGAAGGTTTTCCCACACTGCTTACACACATAGGGTTTCTCACCAGTATGAATTCTCTCATGTTGAACAAGGTTTGAAGCACGACTGAAGGCCTTCCCACATTCTTTACATTCATAAGGTTTTCCACCAGTATGAATTTTCTGATGTTGTGTAAGGTAGCCATACATTTTAAAGGCCTTTCCACATTCTTTACATTCATAGGGTTTTTTATCAGCATGAATGCTCTGATGTGCAGTAAGGTGTGAAGTACGTCTAAAGGTCTTCCCACATTCCTTACATTCAAAAGGTTTCTCATCAGTATGAATACTTTGATGTAGAGTAAGATTTCTATAGAAAGTAAAGGTTTTTCTACATACCTTACATTCATAGGGTTTCACACCAGTATGAATTTTCTGATGTTGATTAAGATATCCATGCAAGCTAAAGGTCTTTCCACATTCCTTACATTCATAGGGTTTCTCACCAGTATGAATTTTCTGATGTTGAATAAGGTTTGAGCCAGTACTATAGGCCTTCCCACATTCCTGACATTCAAAAAGTTTCTTACCAGTGTGAATATTCTGATGTCGAGTCAGATTTCTATACAAAGTAAAGGTTTTCTTACAGTCCTTACATTCAAAGTGTTTCATGCCAGTATGAATTTTCTGATGTTGTTTAAGGTAGCCATACAAGGTAAAGGCCTTTCCACATTCCTTGCATTCATAGGGTTTCTCGCCAGTATGAGTTTTCTGATGTTGAAAGAGTTTTGAACCAGTAGTATAGGTCTTCCCACATTGCTTGCATTCAAAAAGTTTCTCACCAGTATGAATATTCTGATGCCGAGTAAGATTTCTATACAAAGTAAAGGTTTTCTTACACTCCTTACATTCATAGGGTTTTCCACCTTTATGAATTCTCTGATGTAGAAGAAAGTATGAGGCAGTCGTATAGCCCTTCCCACATTCTTTACACTCATATGGCTTTTTACCAGTGTGAACACTCTGATGTACAGTAAGTTGGTGACATCTTCTAAAGGCTTTTCCACATTTCTCACATACGTATGGCTTCTCATCAGTATGAATCTGCCCATGTTCAACAAGATTTGAGCGCCTACTAAAAGTCTTCCCACATTCCTTACATTTATATGGTTTTTCGCCAGTATGAACTCTCTGATGAATTCTAAGGTGTCCACCTTGACTAAAGGCCTTCCCACACTCCTGACATTCATAAGGCTTCCCACCAGTGTGAATTCTCTCATGTTGAGCAATGTGTGAAGCATATATAAAGGCCTTCCCACATTGCCTACATTCATAGGTCTTCTCACCAGTATGAAATCTCTGATGCACAGTCAGCTGATAACCACTTTTAAAGTTCTTCCCACATTCTGTACATTCATAGGGTTTCTCACCAGTATGAAATCGTTGATGGAGAGTAAGTTGATAACCACTACGAAAGTTCTCCCCACACTCTTTGCATTCATAGGGTCTCTCAATAATATGAAACTTGTGATGTAGAATAAGTTGATAACCACTACTGAATTTCTTCTGACACTTCTTACATTCATAGAGTTTCTCTCTCTTATATATGCTCTGAAGTTGTACAGAGGATATACCTGTTTCATAAGTGGGTACTTCTATGTAGCTGATTATCTCACACTGTAAATCCAAATCTGAAACAAAAAAGGACAACAAAAAAAATTTGTTTCTATACCAGAGAACAAGAAACTTTATGAAACAAAGAAAAACCAACCCTCACAATAAGTGAATGGCATACAGAATTCAAAAATATGGTTATGAAATTTGAAAAAGGCCAAGAAGAGTTCAGAGATGTATACGAGTTTAAGTAAGACAGTGAAATTACTTATTGAGGACATATGTAACATTTAGGTGGGGCTAGAATTTTTGACAAGCTTGTTCCAAATCTGCCATCATGGCACCGTCAAAGACCAAGTGAATTAAAACTGAGAGGAGAAAAACCTTGACATCTTTATTTTGAACCTATCACTGATTTAGAAGCAGGTCAGTGTTTAAGAATACATCCTTTAAGTTCCTCAAGTGATTTTTCATTGTTCTTAGAATAAAATACAAATCCCTTTCCAAGGACTGCTGCTTACCTAGGAGGTCTCATGTCAAAACAACTAACTCTTTGCTTCCTATTCTCTATCATAGTCCCTCTTTGCAACACCAAGAATATAGTACAATTGCCCCTTCGTATCTGTGGAGGATCAGTTCCAGGACCTCCTGCAGATACCAAAACCCAATCCAGCTACAGATGCCCAAGTCCCTGATATAAAATGGCATAGTATTTGCACATAACCTATACGCATCTTCCTGTATACTTTCAATCGTCTCTGGATTACTTACAATACCTAATACAATGTAAATGCTATGTGAATAGCTGTCCCACTGTATTACTGAGAAAATAATGACAAGAAAAAAGTCTGTATGTGTTCAGTACTCTCACAATTTAAAAATATATGTTTGATCTGAAGATGGTTGAACCCATGAGTGCAGAAGTCATGGATACAAAGGGCCAACTATACAACTTGCCACAACACTTAATGCTGTCCACAGACTGTTTAACTGCTCAAGAGTCCTTGGACTTAGACATTTCGCAGGCTGAATCCTTCTCATCCTTTATGTTTCAGGGTAAATGTTCTTTCTTTAGAAAGGCAGTACCTGCTAACTCTGTCTGTCTCTCTATCTTTATCTATCTATCTATCTATCTATCTATCTATCTATCCATCCATCCATCCATCCAGCCATCAAGCAATCAATCATCAAGACAGGGTCTTGCTCTGTCACTCAGGCAGAAGTACAGTAGCCCAATCATAATTCACTGCAGCCTTGTACTCTTCCAGCTCAAGCGATCTTCCCACCTCAGCCTCTCAAGTAATTAGGACTACAGATGCACAACACTACGCCTGGCTCATTTTAAAATTATGTGTAGAGACAGGGTCTCACTATATTGCTTGTCCACCATGATCAAGTCAGCTTCATCCCTGGGATACGAGGCTGGTTCAACATACACAAATCAATAAACGTAATCCATCACATAAACCGAACCAAAGACAAAAAAACCACATGATTATCTCAATAGATACAGAAAAGGCCTTTGATAAAATTTAACTTCCTTTCATGTTAAAACTTAAAACTGGCAATAAACTAGGTATTGATGGAACATATCTCTACAGAAAAGGCGTTTGATAAAATTCAACATCCCTTCATGTTAAAATTTAAAACTGGCAATAAACTAGGTATTGAAGGAACACATCTCAAAACAATAAGAGCTAATAAGAGCTATTTATGACAAACCCACAGCCGATATCATATTGAATGGGTGAAAGCTGGAAGCATTCCCTTTGAAAACCAGTACAAGACAAGGATGCCCTCTCTCACCACTCCTATTCAACAAAGTACTGGAAGTTCTGGCCAGGGCAATCAGGCAAGAGAAATAAATAAAGGTATACAAATAGGAAGAGAGGAAGTCAAGTTGTCTCTGTTTGCAGATAACATGATTTTATATTTGGAAATCCCCATCATCTCAGGCCAAAAACTCCTTAAACTGATAAGCAACTTCAGCAAAGTCTCAGGGTACAAAATCAACGTGAAAAAATCACAAGCATTCCTTTACACCAACAATAGACAAGCAGAGAGCAAAATCATGAATGAACTCCCATTCACAATCGCTACGAAGAGAATAAAATACCTAGGAATACAATTAACAAGGAATGTGAAGGACTTCTTCAAGGAGAACTATAAACCACTGCTCAAGGAAATAAAAGAGGACACAAACAAATGGAAAAACATTCCATCCTCATAGATAGGAAGAATCAATATCGTGAAAACGGCCATACTACCCAAAGTAAATTATAGATTCAATGCTATTCCCATCAAATTACCATATAACATTCTGCACAGAATTAGAAAAAAACTATTTTAAATTTTATATGGAATCAAAGAAGACACTGTACAACCAAGACAATCCTAAGCAAAAAGAATAAAGCTGCAGACATCACGCTACCTGACTTCAAACTACACTACAAGGCTACAGTAACCAAAACAGCATGGTACTGGTACCAAAACAGACATATAGACCAATGGAGCAGAACAGAGACCTATCTGATCTTCGACAAACCTGCCACAAACAAGCAATGGAGAAAGGATATCCTATTCAGTAAATGGTACTGGGAAAACTGGGTAGCCATATGCAGAAAACTAAAACTAGACCCCTTCCTTACACCTTATACAACAATCAACTCAAGATGGATTAAAGACTTAACTGTAAAACCCAAAACCATAAAAACCCTATAAGAAAACCTAGGCAATACCATTCAGTACATAGGCATGGGCAAAGACTTGATGACAAAAATGACAAAAGCCATTGCAACAAAAGCCAAAATTGACAAATGGGATCTAATTAAACTAAAGAGCTTCTGCACAGGAAAAGAAACTATCATCAGAGTGAACAGACAACCTACAGAATGGGAGAAACCTACCCATCTGACAAAGGTCTAATATCCATAAATTACATGGAACAAATTTACAAGAACCAAACAATACATCAAAAAGTGGGCAAGGGATATGAACAGACACTTCTCAAAAGAAGACATTTGTCTGGGTGTGGTGGCTCACGCCTGTAATCCCAGCACTTTGGGAGGCCAAGGCGAGTGGGTCACAAGATCAGGAGTTCAAGACCAGCCTGGCCAACATGGTGAAACCCCGTCTCTACTAAAAATACAAAAAAAATGAGCCAGGCATGGTGGCAAGTACCTATAATCCCAGCTACTCGGGAGGCTGAGGCAGGAGAATCACTTGAACCCGCGAGGCGGAGGTTGCAGTGAGCCGAGATCAAGCCACTGCACTCCAGCCTGGGTGACAGAGTGAGAATCCATCTCAAAAAAAAAAAAAGAGACATTTATAAGGCCAACAAACATATGAAGAAAAGCTCAACATCATTATCAGAGATCATCAGAGAAATGCAAATCAAAACCACAATGAGATACCATCTCACACCAGTTAGAATGGTGATTATTAAAAAGTCAGGAAAAACAATAGATGCTGGTGAGACTGTGGAGAAACAGGAACACTTTTACACTGTTGGTGGGAATGTAAATTAGTTCAACCACTGTGGAAGGCAGTATGGCGATTCCTCAAGGATCTAGAACCAGAAATACATTTGACCCAGCAGTCCCATTACTGGGTATATACCCAAAGAAATATAAATTATTCTACTATAAAGACACATGTACATGTATGTTTCCTGCAGCAGGATTTACAATAGCAAAGACTTGGAGCCAACCCAAATGCCCATCCGTGATAAACTGGATAAAGAAAATGTGGTACATATGCACCATGGAATACTATGCAGCCATAAAAAGAAATGAGATCATGTCCTTTGCAGGGACATGCATGAAGCTGGAGGCCATCATTCTCAGCAAACTATCACAGGAACAGAAAACCAAATACCGCATGTTCTCACTCGTAAGTGGGAGCTGAACAATGAGAACACACGGACACAGAGAGGGGAATAACATATACCAGGGCCTGTTGGGTGCTGGGAGGTGAGGGGAGGGAACTTAGAGGACAGGTCAAAAGGTGCAGCAAACCACCATGGCACATGTATACCTATATAATAAACGTGCATGTTCTGCACATGTATCCCGTTTTTTTGTTTTAGAAAAAAAAAAAAAGGCCGGGCGCGGTGGCTCAAGCCTGTAATCCCAGCACTTTGGGAGGCC